TAAACTAAAAAAAAAAAGACAAATAAATAAGCATCCAAGAAAAGGAAAAAAGAAAATCCAAACTAAGTTGAAAGAAGATAATAATAAAGGAAAAAAGAATGAAATAGAAAACAAGGGGCAGGGGAGACAGAAACAACAAAATCAACAGGTGGTTGTTAGAAAAAATAGTTAAACTGTTAATCCTCTGATAGGACTCATCAAGAAAAAGAAACAACAAACACAAATATATAATAAGAATAAAAAGGCAGATGGGATTTTCTAATCATTGAGTATATACTTAAAATAAAAGATTTCTTAGAAAAATATAACTTAGCAATCCCTCGCAAGAAAAAATAAAAAACCTAAGCAGGGCTATAACCTTTAAAGAAAGAGAATAAGCAGTATTAAGTTACACACAAACAAGACAGGATGCATGGTTAAACAGGCGAGTTCTATCAAAACTTCAAGAAGCATCCACGTGAATTAAAGTTGGACCACTACTTCACAACATATATAAAAATTAACTCAAAATGGATCAATGACTTCAATGTAAAAGCTAAAACTATAAAACACTTTGAGGAATACATAGGCTTAAGTCTTTGTGACCTTAAATTAAGCAACAGATACAACACCAAAAGCACATTACAACAAAGAAAAAATAAATTGGAATTAATCAAAATTTAAAACATACATGATTCAAAGGAGACTCTCAGTAAGTGCAAAGACAACCCATAGAATGGTAAAAGATAGTTGCAAATCATGTATCTGATAATTCTAGTATTCAGAATATATAAAGAGCTCTTAAAACTCAACAATAAAAAGACAGTCCAATTAAAAAATGGGTAAAGAAACTGACAGCACCTGGTGGTGTGGTGGTAGGGGGCTAAAATAAGGAGGATTTAATGAAAACTGCCTCTCTACAACTGCGACAGAATTCTGGCTGAAGGACTCATCTCAGGAGAGGATAAAATACCAAGTATAATTAAGGGTATGAGGATGGGAGATTAAAATCATCACATACATATTTTGTTCAGAGCCTTTAGGCCTTGTCTCCTGTTCGGTTCACAGAATAATGGCAACCATACCATATACCTTCTGGGCAATATTTAAAGATACTTCTCTGAGGAATCTGATCTGACCAAAGAAAAGATCTAATGAGAGTAACATAAAGGCTTCTCAACAAATCTGCCTACCCAAATCACCCTATATTAAAGTTCAGAATATACAAGCTCTACCAACATACTAAGAGTTCTTAATAACGAACAGGCAGAATTGTCAGACCTCTGAGGAATGCCTCTAACACAGATGCTAGAGACTGAATAATAGAAAATGCATCTTAGAGGAAAACAGATACTATGTAGATGGGGAGGGGGGAGTCTTTAAAATTAAAAAAAAAAAACTATCATTAACATACCAGAGAAATGAGCTGCATCTATGATTCATGAACAGGATGCCATAAAATTACCTTTCCATTTAAAAAAAAACTGGTTTCTATAGAATACCATAGTGGCGACATAAAAGCATAATTTTCAAAATGATCCAATAGCCATGATGAAATATTTCAACTCTTCTATTTCATTTAGCATAGGAAAGCAATTTTTAGTTTTTTTTGTTTGTTGGTTTACCTTAAGCACTAGCCCCCAAATACGCAGTACCTAGATTAATAAAGTGTTCCAAATAAAGGTTATATATTTGTACAAGACAGCAGGTAATACATCATTTTGACTGCTCTTTTCAAAAGTATTAATGGAATAATGCAAATGAAATGCTACATGACAGCAAAATCTTTTAAGTGACTCAAACTGGCACCTAATTATTGACCAGTCTGAGACAAAAATGACATATATAAACTCATACATCATACTATCAAACATGTGGCAGCAGCCATTAACCTTCAAGATGGGAGATGGGAAGCAACAGAAATACAAGAAATTATACATAAAAAATTTTACTTTCCAGTTGAATTTAAAACAGGCACTGCATAAAATCACTCTTGTCATTGGAAGCGGCCTAGATCATAGTTTCAACACTACCATTAACAGACATATTTCACTGAGCCTCTCTGGGCCACATTGTCCTCACATATAACACTGAATTGATGTTATATTGGATGGTTTTCCACTTGTTGGTTTGCTTTTTTCTTCTTCTTGTCTTGTTTTCATTTTCTTTTTTAATAGCTGAACTGCCCATTAAGAGGTATTTAGAAGGGAGTAAAGGAAGAAGAATGAGCCAGTTCTATCTACTCTCTTAGGCCTTCTCTTGCTGGTTGCCCAAGCTCCTCTGCCAGTGATGGCCCAAGAGACACTGTTATGAACCTGAACTAGATTTTAAAGGCCTTTTCCAGCAATAAGATTCTAAGATTCTAAACATCTAAACATCACATAAACCAAACGGCTTATTTTCACACTTAAACTCTCAGCACAAAAATTAAAAGGAATTTACTTTTCATTCATTTAACAAATATTTTCTGGTTGCCTACAAAGTACCTGGAACCAAGCTAGATTATGAGGATACAATCATTTTTCACTATTATTTTCAAAAAGGCCTTTCTATTGCCTTCTTACCTTCTTGCAAATTGATTGTACTACCTAGTACCTAGTACTACCTAGTACAATCAATTAAGCCATTTTTTGTCCTTTAAAACTAAAAACAATAAAAAAATTATGAAAATGACCAATAGCCAGTAAGTTCTACAGTTTAGGGTTCTCTTCCCATTTATGCTATAAGAACTGAAACAACTGTACAAACATACAACAAATAAAAGATACTACATAAAGGATGCAGATGCTATATTTCATATATAAAATAAACTTCAAAAAATTTTAAGTTTTACATAGTAACCAACACATTTCTACAAGGATATGAGATTCATTTTAAGTACACAAAATGTTATCAGATGAATATAATAGTTTGTACACAAAATTTCAAAGATTTAAAAGAGAATAAAGGTTTTCATCTAAAGCTAAAAAGCATATTTATCTGTCATCTATTATTACTGCTTTATTTGAGTAAACATTTCTTTTAAGACACAAGATTTTTAAATGCTAAGAAATACCACAGCACTTCAGAAATACTTCTAAGAAACTATAAAGAAATTGTACAGGAACTCAAAAGCCAAATGGAGGAAATGAGAGAATCAGGAAAAATAAAGAACAAAATAGGAAAGCGAAAAAATTGATAAAGCAGCTTTGGGGATAAGATTTTATCCAACTATGTGATGTAGTTATAAATCAAAATATGTGAAATAGATTTGAAAACACAGGATACCTGCAAAAAGAAAAAGTGTGCCTATATGTCGGCATGAGTCTAAACCAGGTTAACCAACATAGGCAATAATGACATTTTGGGCAAGATAATTCTTGGTTGATAGGGGCAGACCTGGCCTTTACTAGATGTCAGTAACAACCCCACCAGTCTTCAGACAATGCCAAAAATTGTCCCTCATTGAGAACCACTGCTGTAAATGAAAAAAAATAAACTGCTCCAAGCTAAATGAAAAGTCTGCTAAGTGAAAAATAAACAATTTTGTTTTTCTTACAGAGTATCTGGCATGTAACAAGCGCTCAATAAATATGTGCCGTTAAATAAAATTTCCCCTCTAAAACTGTTTACATTAATTATTTAATGACTCCTTCAAAGCTTTGAAAGTTTCTACCCAATCTCAGTCCAAATTTCTATTAGTTACAAAGTAAAAGATAAAAATAAAATTTACTGTGTATTTGATTCTTCTATATTCCAAATGACTAAACACCACCACCACCCTGAAAAAAAGGCAGAGCCACTTAAAACAACAGTGTTTATAAAGTCCACATTGGGTTTTCCACGCAAGTGCTTCCTACCATTCATTTTTTTTCATTTTTCAATTTTTCAACAGGAACCACTCATTTACTTATTCAACAAATACATTCTGAATGCTTACTATATGTCAATGCTGAAATAGGTACTGAAGACATAAAATAGATACAGAGACAAAAATCTCTTCCCTCAAGGAATTTAAGAGTTTAGTAAAAGCCTAAAAGCAATCAAATTGTTTCAAAATCACATGAAAAGCACAAAAAGAGGTGTCTAAGAAAACAGAAAGAGAATCTCAGACTATATCTCCCCAAGGATTTAGAGAAAGCAGAGAGAGATCATGATGGCTGAGCTGCTTTTTGTTTGTTTGTTTGTTTTAGGTTGTTTTGTTTGAGGGCAGGGGGAGCATGTTAAAATTCCACATAACAAACTTTCCTCAGATGTTTGTGATGGACCTTAAACTCAACATGTAACTATTACTGCAAAGTCTCAGCAAAAGAGAAGTTTCGATTACACCTAATATCCATGCTTTGGTAGTTATCTGGATAGTTTCTCAAGATCAAAGAAATTTGTATCTTTTTAACCTTGTTTTTAAAATGTTTAACTTAAGCTTTAGAAAAGCACAAATAAAAGACGATATGCTATGATTTTCAGCAATATAAACGATTAAGATTTCAAGAGAGATGGAAAAATACATTAAAAATAGTCTATAATTTACAATAACATACAAAATCAAATCTTCATTAAAAAAGATATCCGTCAGCTAAATTTGACTGGCTTTAAAAAACAAAGATATTCCTCAAAACTTTTAATTGCTGCAGTCATCAACATTGTAAACCATTTTGTTAAATATTTACAACTAAAATTCATTTTGCTTTGACTGTTTTCTCAGTTGTCAAGAACAATATTTTCACACTTTTTTATAGACACCTATCATCATCTCTCATGTCATACAATTTTATTCTCTTAACTTGTGCCTCCTCTACTGGTTCAAAAGTAGAACAACACAAAACCAAGCCTTTAATTCCATTGATCAAAATGCAACTTAAATAAGCTCTATTTTTTGATTTAGTGATCATGTTCTATAAAATTTATTTCTATCAGATTAACATCAAATTTTGGATAAAGATCTTGAGAACATAAGTCTCAGCCAGATTATTTTTTTAAACCTTAAAATATTATTTTCACATCCAACTGCTATTATTGGTCTTTTTA